AATGTTGGCACAGGACCTGTGGGAGTGGCCAACTAATGACTGGAACTGGTCCCACTTGAGACCCATGTCCTGAGAAGGAACCCACCCGTGACACTGCTGAAGGGCCAGAACCAGAGGCTGGACAGCCCAGAGACCCAGGATAGGAACAAACAGGACTGGGAGAAAAAGTCAATGAAATGATTCCTAATGATACTCTGCTATACTCATAGATCGATGTCCAGCCCAACTCATCAGAGAAGCAGCATCCAGCAACCACTGGAACAGATGCAGAGACCCACAGCCAAATACTAAGCAGAGCCAGGCAAACCCTGCACAAGAGAGGGAGGAAAGACGGTGGGAGCCAGAGGGATGGAGAACACCAGGAGAATACAGCCTACAGAGTCAACTAAGCAGGGTTCTGAGGGGATCACAGGGCTGAAGTGACTATTACAGACCCTGTATGTGTCTGAGCTTGATGTTTTGTGAGGGCTCCTAAGAGTGGGAGTGGGGGTGTCTCTGACTCTTGCCTGCTCTTGGGACCCTTTCCCCCTACTGGGCTGCCTCGTCCAGCCTTGACATGGGGGCTTGGATCTAGACTTATGGTAACTACTTATGCTGTGTTTGGTGATATCTCTGGGAGGCTGCTCTTTTTTTTTTTTTTTTTTTTTTTTTTAAGGGAAATGAAAGAGGAGTGGTTGTGGGGGGGGGGGGGGGGGGGGNGGAGGCGGGGGAGGGGTTGACCTGCAGTTGGGATGTAATGTATGAGAGAATAAAAATTTTAAAAATAAATAATTTATCCTATTTTCATTAAAGCCAATCTAGGTGACTGTTTTCATTTTTTTTTCTTGAGACATGATTTAGCCTCAAACTCACAGGTAGTGGAGAATGACCTTCAATTCCTAATCCCTCTGCCGAAACCTTAGACTCACAGGTGTATGTCACTGCACCTGGCTCTAGTGCCGTGGTTCTCAGTCTTCCTAATGCTGCGACCCTTCAGTGCAGTTCCTCATGTTGTGGTGGCCCCCACCATAAAATTATTTTCACTGCTACTTGATAACTGTAATTTTTCCACTGTTATAAGCCATAATGTAAATATCTGGTATGAAGAATATGTGATATGTGACCCCTGTGAAAAGATATGTTCATACACACACACACGTGTGTGTGCGCGCGTGTGCAACACTTGCAAAGTGTATGTACACACTTACAGCTGGTTGCCAACAGTCCTCCCTGTGGGGGCCTCAAAGCTCTTCAGACACAGTGAAATCTTTTCAGAAGGAGTTTATTCTGATCACTGAGCAGAGGTGGCTGCTCAGGGAGGTTATAAAAGTTGCTCTGCAGAGGTTTTTGGCTTCCTCCCCTCAGGTTATACATGTTTATTGCTGAGAACTGATATGTAAAAATCCCCAGCTCTAGGCCACATGATGCGTTTAGCTCTGTCAGCATTAACCATTCACACAGATGTGATATTTAAAGACAAAATCGGCTGTTCAACACTTGTCCTTCCTTTTTAGATTTTAACTCATAATTCTAGAAAGTCCTGCCCCAAGCTCTGCCAAACTCTACTTGTATAAAACCATATGGGATTTATAAATTCAAGCGCAGACTATGTAGAAGCACACTGTTTCAGCAACAGAACTGTATGTGGTCTGTTTCTGAGCAGGAGCTGGGTGAGCAACTCCTCAGTCACACTGGGGGACATCACGCAGATGAACACAGCACGACCTCGTGGTTGTCTTGGGCAGACTACGGGGAGATGCCTGCGAGAAGCACTGTTCCCCAGCACTTGAGGATGTGTTTTAATTGTAGACATTTTTCACTATAATGAATGACTTCCTAACTCTAACACAAAGTTAGGGAATTATATATCAAATTCATCCAAGTATTCACAGCGACGTACGAGCGACTGAATTGGGTCAGATTAGTTACTCTGTTTCCCTGACATGCTCTAAAACATGACACACTCTAAAACACCCCGGCTTCCCTTCTCATCTAAACTTCGACCCAGTCTTCTCTCAGCCTTCCTCTTTACAAAAACAGCAAGCTGGTTCGTCTAAACGCCTATCAGACCGCGCCTGTGACAAGGCCGCCCAAGTCTGTCCAGTTTCATTCTGACCGAACATCAGAACGGGCGAACACAGACGTAGACTTCTGCTTCCACAAGGGAGGAACAGTGGTCTAGTGCTTAAAGACCACTGTGTGGTACTAAAAACCCAAACTAGAGTGAACCAAACAGAGCTCTTCAAACTGCGGGTGACAAACCACACAGGTAATCGGCATGTCATAAAAGTGGTAGAAAAAAACTGTTCTTAAAGGCATATGCATGTATTAGACTATAATGCAAGATGCATTAATGAAAAAGTTTATAATTAATTGCATAAGATATTAATTACTTGAATGGATTTAAAATTTGTATTTTAAATTTACCATTAAATTGCTATAGTAAAATTTACATTTATTACTTAAAAATCTCTGCATTAAACAATAAGAACAGCTGTTCTAAAAGGCAGCAACACATTGAAAAACCATTCTCAGTGACAACAGTGACCTCTAGTGGATTTGTTAAACTACAACACGGCCACAGTGAAGCTTCTAGCGTGAGAAAGTAGGATTTGGCTGTACCACACTGTTAGACACAGTGGGGGCTCTGCTTAGACAAAGGGCAGCTGTCACTAATGCCCATCAGTCAGCAGAGCACAGCGGGGAGGAGCCTGACTTCAGACAGGGTCTATCATAGCTCACAGGATAGGCTCCATTTTTGAAAGGACACTCAACAAAGGAACTGGATTGACTCTATGGATCTTTTAGGCTTTTGAGAATCTTCTAGACCAATACCAGAGCAAGGTCTGCTCAAAAGACCTTGTGTACTGGGAGGAACGTGGTGTGACATGGCCTGACACACACTCTACAGTGTGACCACACTGGGAAAAGGGATGAACCATGCATGCCGTGGGCAAGGAGGAACATGGTGTGAGATCTTTACTGTGCTATTCAGAATGATTTATAATTAAGAATTTATGAAGTACTTCTGGAATCGTCCATCTAATATTTTTAGATTATAGTTAATGCTGGTAACTGAAAAGATGGGAAGTGGAACACTGGCCAAGAGAGGGTCCCTGTAGGCAGCCAATGTCCAATCCCCAACCAACTCCCTTGAGCTTTTCTCTTCCGTTTACAGTTTGTCATTAGGTGATGTCATGAAATTTATATCATACATACTCAGCAAAGTTATTAAACAATTTCACTCACGTATTTATTCTGTTATCTTAATTACCATTAAATTCAAGGCTGAGATTTATGATACACATGTATATGCATGTGCATGTATTGCCTTGCCATGAGCATGTGTGTGCCTTGCCATGAGCACGTATGTGCCTTGCCATGTGTGTGTCTTGTCAGGCACTAAGTGTACAGTGAGTACTCTGGAAATTAAGGGCATTTGTCTAGATTAGGGGAATAAAGGGCTATTTTCATCTTTTTTCCTCCACTAAAATTAAGAAAGGTTATATAAACAAGATGAAGCTCAATAACCAAAAGTGACATAGATCAAGGCTTCAAGTTACGAGGAAAAGTAGACATTCTGAAGAGATAGGATGAGGCTTAGGAAAAGGTCAGCGAAGAGTTACTGAGTCAGAGGAAAACAGTTGGTAGGAAAATGCCTTCTCCTTCGTTCCTTCCTTCCTTCCTTCCCACAGTGTCTCATTTGGGCCAGGCTGGCCTGGGGTTTACTATGTAGATAAGGAGGGCCTTCGCTCTGGGTCATCCTGCCTCCTCGGAATTTGGGGATTCCAGGCACGTACAATCATGTCTGGCTTGGTAAATGGTTTTGAAGTAGGTATAAGGATGTGACAGAGGGCTGAATTTAACAAGCAGAGAATATATCTTTGGAAATAAAAGACAAAGACAACTTGAGCCATTGGTGTTGCTCAGGGGGAGAGGAGTGCTGCTGGTTTGGGTCAACCGTCGACGGCAGCGGCTCTGGAGAGACGAAGAGTGCGGGTGCCCATTTACCTGGGACGATGGTGCCTTTAGTCTCTAACACGAAAGCTACAGCTAGTGATGAAACGGCCGATTTCGTCTCTATGACGTTCGGTTTAAGGCCACAGGGTGACAGGCAGGCTTCGCATAGGAAGGGATTACAGAGGAACACGCCACCAAAGGTTGCCACTGCTGCCAAGGAACTACAGAATCTAGAGAGGTATCCTTCCATCTTACTCAGGGACAGAATTTAAGGTTTCGTCTGTTTGTCTTAAAGCACAGCTCTAGCATCAACTGCATCTCTTTACAGCTGAGTCGTTGTATTTACTTAGCATCCCTCTTCCCTGTCTGTCCACAAACAACACGCGTCATTTAGGAGGATACTAATGTCACCAAGTGTTTTTGTATTTACTTAGCATCCCTCTTCCCTGTCTGTCCACGAACAACACGCGCTATTTAGGAGGATACTAATGTCACCATGTATTTGTCTGGAGTTTCTATACAGTTTAGTTGGATAATGATAACAACTGTTGCTTTTACTAATAAATTTCTTTAAATTCTACATCAGTAAAATACTACAAGTGTTTAATTATTTCCTGAAGCAAAAGCCTTCAAATGTTTTAGCAAAAAGGTACTTTTATATTGGCTTTTTTAAAGCTCAGGGTACTGCAGTCATTGTAACAAAACCCGCTATCTTAGCAGTAAAGTGAGTTCAGCCAGATTCCCAAGAGCCAGTGTCTTCTGAAAAAAGTCACTACTTTAATCCAGGATTGTTACACGAGCAGGATTCACCCTGGGCAAAGCAAGGGCCAGAATGCGAACTCCAGTTTTGTGATCAAAATTACAACATTAGAGAAAAACACTTGCAGGTAAGGTTTCCCATTTAAAAATCCTTAGTAACTATGCTTAAGATACAGTCACTTCCCAGAGCTAAACTGTGTGAACAGTGACCCTCTGCTGAGAACTCAGCCTGCTCTCGGCCAGCGTCAAAAGCAGGAGGTTACCCGACCACTGGAGCAAACAAGACAAAAAGATTCAATTACCTCTCTTCCTCTCGAACCCATACTGGAGTTTTCGGAATTTGTGTTTCAAAAAACTTAGATGCTCTGTAACAAAAATTGCTGCAGAAAGACTGGAAAGGAACATTTAAAATTAGCTCATTATGTTTCTTCTTACAAACACAGCCTACAGAGAACATGAATGAGAAAATCAAAGAATAAAAGGAAACACTGAGAGCAAAGGACCATATAAATGGGCTATACTGTATTTGTCCTTTTGTGTTGCTTTGCTTCACTTAATGTCTTAGAAGTTCCTATGTCATTTACTTTCTTTTTAAAATTAGAATATTATTTCACTATATGTCTATACTATATTATATAGCTATGAATACTTTTATACATATACCCCGGTACACACGGCCCAGGAATTTCTTCACGGCATGTAACATAATAAAAAGGCTTGGTCACCAAGAATGTGAGACGCTTCTGGGCTCCTGGCTTTACTTAGCGTTAAGGAGCCTCTCTAATATGTAAGAGGCTCTGGTTCTGAGCCACAGCCTTCCCCACTTCCTGGTGTAAAACTGAGATTCCAAAATGGGCTTTCAACATGGCTGTAACATCATCTATTCCCACCAGCTCCTTTTGGAGTTGTACAACCAACTCACTGTGTTTACACTAGCTTTAGCGTGTTCTCACACGTTCACTAGCCATTTGCACCTGGCACATGGAAGTCTCCCTTTCGTTTGCCTTCCTTTCTCTTAGACTACACATTCTGGCCATGAATCCGTAGGAAATATAACTTCACACTTTTCACTTGTTTTATCCTCTCTTTCTCAGTATTATTATTATTATTATTGATATTTGTGGCTTTTGCAGAGCCCTGGCTGTCCTGGAACTCGCTCTGTAGACCAGGTGGCTTGAACTCACAGAGATTCCCCTGCCTCTGCTTCCCTGAGATTAAAGGTGTGAGCCACCACACCTGCCTTTGTTTTTCTCACTTTTTAATGAACACTTTCTTTGCTAATTTTCTGTCCAAGTTTATACTCTCCCATCCTGTCTTGAAAGAGGCCTGCTTTCTGGACACACATCTATCCACCCACTTTGTATACGGACTGGGGTGAGTCAGTTCTCACCTTTGGACAACTGTGCCACCTCCAGCTCCTCAAAGACCCACCCTCTCTCTGCTCACATACGAGACTCCTGTCGCCATGTACTGAGGGCTCACAGATGTGTGAATCCGCCCCTGGCTCATCCTTCTTAACCTGGTTTACTTGCCTGTGCTTATACTACTGTGCACTTTCTGTTTTTAAATGTTCAGATCTTTTTTGGGGGAGGGCGGTGGCCCAGAGAAGCCTCAAACCCGCTCAAACCCGCTGCACAGCTGAGAATGACTGGACTCCTGACTCCCCACATCCCGTTCTTAGTTAAAGCTCAAGCAAGAAATTTTCTTAACACCTTAGTTTTATATAGAAACATCTGTTACTGTAGTTATTGTCTAACAGACAAATTTTAAAGTAAAATTTAGAATTTTATTTAATATCATTTAAAAATTAACTGCCACATTAAACAGCTTTTGAACTTACCTTTCTTTCAGTAATATCGTAGACTTTATTGGTTTTAGTAGAAATTTTATATTTCTGTTTCGGTATCTAAAGAAAAATAAAGCATAATTTACTAAAGAATTTAAGTGAGGGACACAAACTTTATGTCACAGAGAATTAAGTCGTCTATGGTTAATACTTTCGGCCAGTCCAAGTTATCAGTGCATGGCCTCAGGCTTTCGTTCCCGTTCTTTCCACAAAATGTTTGTAGAGACTAACAAACACACTTAGGAGAAGACCACTTACGGCTCCTAGCTTCTTCTGACATAAAGGGTAGCCGCAGAGTTTGATAATGGCCCTCTCGTCCACGACGTCGCTGTAGTGAGCTGGTGTGATCAACATCCCCTGGAACAGGAAGAAAGGGTGTTCCCCAACAGATTACAGAACAGATCACGAACGACCGTGAAGTCGGATTAGAGGAGCACATGAGGAAAAGTGCTTCCGTGAGTGTCTGCCGGACACGTGCGTCTGGGCGGACAAGATGACCCGAGGGAAAAGGTTTCTGCTGCCAAGCATGACAGCCCGAGTTTCTCCTCCGGGACCCACATGGCAGGACAGATCTGCATGCACACGCATGCCGTGGCATGGCATGTGCGCCCACCCCACTAGTAATAAAGGAAACTTAATCATATGTTATAACTACATACGTTGTATGTATTTAATCATACATTGTAACTACGGCCATCTTACTATGTACTTTTTATTAATTCATTTTAAAGTCATTATAAAGCAAGAACTATTATCAGAGTTGGTAATTTTAAAAGACAGATCATACATTCTGGATCTAAGGACTGAAATAAAATTTAAAGGTTCCAATAGTGCAGGGAAGTCTCATAGACCAAGACACGCTAGACTGGGGGACCGGAGATGGCTCTGCCGGAGGACCTGAGTTTGGTTCCCACCCATCCGCATCAGGCTGTTCATAAATGCTGGCAACTCCAGCTCCAGAGGAACCGATGTCCTCTTTTGGACTCCACAGGTAACTAAACATACGTGGAATGCACTCACACATACATACGTACAGTTTTTAAAAATGATGGTGCTGGAGACACAGTTCAGTGGTTGAGAGCATTTGTTGCCCTTGCCGAGGTTTTTGAGTTTGGTTCTGTGCTGGGTAGATCACAATCACCTACAACACCAGCTCCAAGGGATCTGACACCCACTTCCAGACTCTGGGCACTGTACACTCAAAGTGCACACACAAACACGAACATATGTACAAGACACTCATACACATAGGTAAGTCCTTACAGACAGATGTCGTATTTAAAATCTGGTAATTTGTCAACTTCATACATACACACTCCTTTAGGAATTCCTCTGTGATGTTTTCTTCCAGAAGCTGCTCGACAATGCGCACAGCCTTCCTCTCACACTCCACCTTCCTCTGCACTGCGGCTTCGAGTTCCGCGCGCCTGAAATGCCAGTGAGAAAGTTAGTCCCCTGAGAAGACTTCTATCTGCAACACTCCATGCTTTAAAAGCCACCACTAACCTATCATTTTGCCAATAAAGTCTGTAGTTTTTAACCCTGCCACTTCTGATCCAATACCTTTCAAAAAGTAAGCAAACTATCCATTACAGTGTGCAGATGGAAGCTGGCCATGAGGATTAATCCCAGGCTCTGAGCACAAGAAGGCACTTAGAGACACCTATAGACAAGGAGGACGGGTATGGTGGTCCATGTCCACAATCACAGCACCTGGGAGGTGGAGGCGGGAAGACTCAGGGTTCAAGGATAGCATGGACGACGTAGAAAGAACCTGTATCTTAAAAGACAGTATGTTTCTTCCTTTATTACAAAGTCTTACTTAGTAACTATATGGATATGAGGAAGCCTTATTCTAGTGAGCAGTGGGATCCTGTCAGTCCTCTGTGGCCCCGTGTACATGGAACGTAATGATAAGGCTATCTTGATAAGCGATCTCCACACAGTCCAACTGTGAGAGCTGTTTTAAGACAGCCCAGGTCCCACCAGAGTCTTCATAAACCAGAAGAGGAGGAGCGCCTAAAATGGGCAGTCACAAGTGTCCTGGAGACACCTCTGTAGTCCCCGATGCTCCTCCCTCCCTCTCACACCTGGACCTGGGAATATTCTTGTGTGTCCTTCCTACTTTCATTAACTTTTGAGACTTTAGACTCCTGGATTTTGCCTAGAGCAATGTGTCCCCACCGTAACTTGGAAGTCTGGGACAGTTTTGCCAACAATTCTTATTTTAAAATGCATACATTAAAATGGGCATTTTGAAACTAAACACCTATTTTTTCCTACCACTTCATCAAGATCATCTTATTGTTATTTCAAGATACTAACGATGGAGATCAGGGCCTCATCGGTGCTAAGAAGGCACTCGACTACTGAGGGACAATCCCTAACTCCAACTCCATACAGAGACCACTCCTGTATCAAACACAAAAAATATAAACAGATTACAGTTCTTTATAGTAGATATGAAAAGCTTCATGAAAAACTATTTTTCTCATTTTGTACCCACCCATCAATAAAAGTCATGTCAGCTTGACTTTTATCAACGACACTGAATGAGCCATTGTCTTCCTGACTGACAGATACCTACAGCTGCTTCCCTTGGGTTAGTGTTGCTCCTTCTGTCTCGAATGATGACAATCGGTATGGCTGTGTTGGAAGTTTTGTGTCAACTTGACATAAGCTACAGTCGCCTGAGGGAGCCTCAAACAAGAAAGTGCCTCTGTAAGACTGGGCTGCCTGCTGGCCTGTAGGGCATTTTCTTAATTAGTGATTGGTGGGGAAGAGTCCAGCCCACTGTGGGTGGCGCCAGCCCTGGGCTTAAGGTTCTAGGTTCTTTAAGGAAGCAAGCTGAGCAAGCCATGGGGAACTCGCCAGTAAGTAGCACCCTTCCTTGGGTTCCTGCCCTGTTTGAGTTCCTGTCCTGACTTCCTTCAATGATGAACAGTGATGTGGAAGTATAAACCAAATAAACCCTTTCCTCCCAAGTTGCTTTGGCTATGGTGTTTCATCACAGCAATGGAAACACTAACTAAGACAGTGGGGTATGGAGCAGGTCGCAGGCATTCTGCTCTTGGATTCCTTTACAGTCTTAAAATTAAAGTTTGCTGTTCTGCACTTTACAAACTCAATTTCTCACTGTGACATGCTGGGTACTACATGAACAGAATTCCGCCTCCTTCTTCCCCTCTTGGAATGTCATACACCATCCCACCTCAGGGTCCTCATCCATATTATCACCCCAGCTGTTAGTCTCTCATCTCTACTGTCTGCTTTACACTGTCTGAAGACTTTTAGAAAACCCACAGGTCTGCCGATCTAAGTCACTGGCCCCTCCTCCATCGCCAGCCTTTTTCTTACAGCACCCACGGCAATTTGTGACGACATACGGCTATTTCTCATAACCCAAATACAGGCCATCTCGTATTTGGAAAATATCTAGAAGAAGAACTAGCAAATCTTGGGGTGAAGAGCCACAGATACATTTAATGTCTCCACAGACAACTCCTGTCCTGAGATCTTCTGGGACATGAGAGACCCAACAATAAAGACGGTTTGGTTTGTTTGTTTTTAAATCCGTACTTAATGTTACGAAGGAGGCAAAAGGTTCCAAAGAGCCTGGCATATACAACAGTAAGTGTGCGCCCGAAGAGAAGGGAAAGGGACTACTCGGTTAATTCAGGAACGGCGTTCCCTACAGTCCGAGCCTCCAGTTTGATTTCTTAAAGCTGGAGGATGTAACAGTTGTGAGAATTAATAGTGCTTCCTACGTCTTCTCGTAAGTATGTTCTCCAAAACAGGTATCCATGATCGTTTTTAACTGTTCGGGCGAACACAGCACAGAACAGTGTGCTTTTTTTTTTTTTTTTTTTAGCACGTATGAAGCCTGAAGGAAGCTCGATTCCCAAGACCAGAAAAAAAAACATCAGGACCAAAACATCTGATTCGATTAATGAGATAAAAAGAGAGTGAAATGCAGTTGTCCACGTGGTCTACCTTCTGGAAGCGTCTTCTGGCTTGAGGGCCCTTGTCTGTTTAGTGCCTGCAAAGGAAGAGACCAGTGAGGGTAAACACACATTTAGTGCATAGTCTTACCCCAACAACCCACCCTGTGGCCCGCGTTTCCTTTTCTCTCACATTTCCAACTCCAACTTGCAAAAAAGGGTAAACAGGAAGGAAATTTCACAGTTTCTGTAAATTAACTACATTTCAATTTTTCTTGACCAAAATCTGTCTCTTTGGGGACTGGTTGTTTTCATGTATCATATCTACTTTAATCAAGTGCTTAAAAAAAAAACCCAAACTGGGTACTTTTACGATAGATATTTCTCGTCTCCCAAATGGACAGTTTGCCTTAAAAAAGGAATCTGGAATCTCAGAGACCCGGTACCAAGGCACAAGGTTCAAAGCAGCTGAACACCCCTGTCTCGGCCACTTGTTCCCTAGGGGCCCCCAGCCCAGCCACGCAGGGGGAGATCCTGAAACACCTGCGTAAGAGTGTGGGATTCTTGCGGTATTCTTTCCCCGACCGCACCAGGGAAGCGGTGGGGAGCCACCCGCCACCCGGAGCCCTCCCTCCCGGGGACGGCCTCGGCCAGCACTCCGCGCGTGCGTAGTACTCAAACCAGGGCCTCAGGGTCCACACCTGAAGAGGCTCGCATTCCTACCTGCAGCCTTCCGGTGGGTGCTGGAGGCCCGGGCACTCGGGCCCAAACAGTGAGGAGCAGCAGAGGCAGCCATAGGAAATGCCGTCGGAAGGCAAGGGGAGGGTTTGCGCGGCGGCCGCGAGGCTCCGCCTCCACGCGTTGCCCGGACCGGGCTGGGGGCGGGCCTAGGGAGGGCGGGGCGAGCGCCGGAGGGGGCGGGCCTAGGGAGGGCGGGGCGAGCGCCGGAGGGGGCGGGCCGAGGGGGGAGGAGCGAGCGCCGGAGGGGGCGGGCCCAGGAGTGCGGCCTGCGCTGGCCGAGGTGGTGGAGGAAGGAGGTGGAGAGAGCGCGCGGTCTGGCGGGTAGGTGGACGTGCTGGGTCGGGTTGGTCCCGGCTCTCTGGCCAGGATCCGCGCAGCACGCGGCTCGCCTGCTAGGCCCCTTGAGGTGCTGGAGCTTGGACGCTCTGCCCAGCAGGAACAGGGAGACGGGGACAAATGGCTTCCCCTCGGCTCAGCCCATAGGCGCGGTAGGGTGTGATTTTCCTGTCCTCTCCTGCGGGGCAGATTCCAGCCCCCTGCGGCACAGAGTCCTGGTCACCACCGGTGGCCTTGGCTTCGGTGATCTCACTGGCTGGGATTGGTTTGTTACTCTGGGGAGGGCAGGTCCTCTAGAGAAGGGGTGGAGGGCCTCGCAGTCTTTGACTTCTTTGGGTGACTTAATTGTGTTGGATTTCAGTTTTTGTCAATGGGACATTTAAAAAATTCCCTAATGAATAGAATTTTTGTCCCAGGTCTACGGTTTGGATTTTTTTTTTCATGAAAGGAATATTTTCCCCTGTTGGAAAAAAGGTTCTTCTAGGAAGTTCTCTCTAGGGTTCTCTTTCTTTATTCTCTTTTCATTCTTTCACAGTTATGCTTTTTAGGCAATACGATAAGGGCTTTAAAAATGCTTTATTAGCCGGGCGGCGGTGGCGCATGCCTGTAATCCCAGCACTCGGGAGGCAGAGGCAGGTGGATCTCTGGGAGTTCGAGGCCAGCCTGGTCTACAAGAGCTAGTTCCGGGACGGGCACCAAAACTACAGAGAAACCCTGTCTTGAAAAACCAAAAAAAAAAAAAAAAAAAGCTTTATTAGGCTAGCACACGAACGTTCAGTAATAGCATTTGAGCTGTAAAACTTACATTGTGTTCACTGTATTTTCTAATAATTCAGAATGAAACATAATTTTCATGATATCACACAATTAACTGTGTTTTGTATTAGTTCATTTCAGAATGGCTGTGGAGGAACTTCAGAGCATAATAAAAAGATGTGTAAGTAATTCCCTGAAAACACCTTTGAAAACTATGGGAAGTGCATATATTATCTTTAATTACGCTGTGGTCACTCATATATTATTTGCCTTATCTAATTCCTGCTTCTTTGGATTTGTAAATAAACAGCATAAGATCAGGAAGGTAGACTGGATTTTTTAAATTATTTTTTTATTTTTACATGTGTGGCCTTTAATCCTAGTAATTAGGAGGCAAAGGCAAGGGGATCTCTGTGAATTTGAGGGTGGCCTGATCTACGTAGTGATTTTCAAGACAGCCAGGGCTCTGTAGAGAGACCCTGTCTCATAAAAGAGGAGGGCTAGAAAAATGGCTCAGTTGTTCTCACAGAGGACCTGGGTCTATTACCCAACTCCTAGACCCTCTGCTGGCTTCCATGGGCACCAGGCACACACCTACTGTAGGCAAACACTCATATATATAAAATAAAAAAAATCCTAAACTCGTGTGTGTGCCACACACACACACACACACACACACACACACACACATTAAAAAGAAATCCTCAACTCTCAGTGTGTGCAGGTGCTTATGGAAGCCCAAGGTGTCAGATCCACCTGGAGCTGTAGTTGCAGGTAGTTGTGAGCCACCTCACCTGGGTGCTGGGAATTGAACTCAGGTCCTCTGTAATAGCAACATATGCTCTTATCCACCCAGCCATTTCTCTAGCCCCAATATCCATTAATTTTAGACCTATGATTGTTTTCATAGGTTTCTTTGATACAGTAGGTTTAAGATCATGCATTGAGCCATACTGACTCATGCTTATAACCACTATTCAGAGGCTGGGGCAAGAGGATCTGAAGTCTCCAGGTCAGCTTAAACTTCATCATGAGAGCCTGTTTCAAGGGCAAAATAAAGTCAATTGTTAAAATATTTATGTATTTATCGCACTTTCTCTAGAATTTAAGGTTTCCTTTTCTTCCCCGAGACAAAATCAGGAACTCATTCATACCGAATCTATATTTGCATCTGTACTTTTTTCTATTTTAACAGCAAATCCTAGAGGAGCATGATTTTAAAGAAGAGGATTTTGGCCTCTTCCAGTTAGCAGGCCAAAGATGCATCGAGGACGGGCATGTAGACCAGCTGCTGGAAATTATTCAAGAGGAAAAGAACAAGGTGAGCACACTTTGTGTCTACTTTTCAGTCTCTAGTTGGGAAGGGAATGATACATTGTTGTTACTCATTAATCCACTTAGTTATCTTTAGCTTCTTAGTTACTTCTCTACTGCTGTGATTAGACACAGTGACCAAAGCGGTTACCCGGTCTCTGACAGAGGCTGGGTGCCTCAGGAGTCAGCATAGTCCCACAGTGGCTGTCCCCTGCTAGGTGCCTCAGCAGTCCCGTCTGCTGGTCCTCGGTCAATGAAAGCTTTAGGGAATTGGGTTCTGATGATAGTGAAGGAGGCAGCAGCAGCAGCAGCAGCAGCTCACCGCGTACACGCTAGAGGAAGGAAAGGCGAAGGGACAAAAGCTGTGACCTTCCTTCTGTATCCTTCCTGTCTGTGCACTTAGGACACCCCTGCATGTGAGGCTCCCTATTGAGACTGTAATCAACTACAACATACTTTTATAGTCCCCAACACAATTTTGTGAGGATTTGTTTTTGAGACAGTCTTTAGCCCGTGCTGTCCTAGTGTTCTTAAAACTCACTGTGGTTTTTGTTGTGTGTTTGTGGTGTGTGGGGGGAGTATGTACATGTTTGTGTGAGTGCGTGTCAAGGTTAGAAATTGACATTGAGTGCTTTCTTCATCTCTTCCCATGTTTAGAAACAATGTTTCTCACTGAACCTGGAGCTCATAGACTCGTCTAGGCTGGGTGGCCAACAAACTCTAGAGATCTGACTCTCTACTTCCCCAGTGCTTGGATGACCAGTGCTTGCTGGTTTGTCTAGCTTTCCCTAACTCTTTGATTAACAACGCCTGCAGGTGTGCCTAGCTTCCCCAGTGCTTAGATTACCAGTGCACGCCCGTGTCCCTAGCTTTTTGTGCTGGTTCTGGGGATCTGAACACAGGTTCTCATTTTGTGCAGCAAGTATTTTGCTGAGCCATCCCTCTGGTCCCTCGCTCTGCATTTTTAAGTTTTCTTGATTTTCCCAATCACATTATCAAAGGATAACTTCTGACAATACTTTTAGTTGCTACCAATACTAAAGTCACTAATCTTTAAGTTCCGTGCCGGATGTTTTCCATATGCTACCTTATTGAGCCTTCCAGCCTCTCATCAGATAGGCATTGCCATGAAACTCATCTTGTAACACCTACACCTCTAAGCTACTAAAAGGCTGAGGGGGAGGACTACTTGAGCACACAAGTTCAAGACCTCCTGGGCAATATGATAAAAGAAAAAACAATCACTATATAGATAAGAAGCAATCACTGAAAGATACCTCAGCTTTTATGTGACATCCACAATTCAGAATTTGGAGCTCTTGACTCCTTTGCTGGATTTGGGCTTAAAAGAAAGTTCCTTCCTTCCTTCCTTCCTTCCTTCCTTCCTTCCTTCCTTCCTTCCTTCCTTTCTCTTTCTTTCTTTCTTTTCTTTCTGTCTTGTTTGAGACCAGATGGCCTCAAATTGGCTACATAGTTGAGGATGACCTTGAACTCATTATTCTACGACCCCCACCTGGGATCACAGGTGTGTACCACAACATCAGGTTTTCCTGGTGCTGAGGACTGAGCCTTGAGCTTTGTGCATGCTAGGCAAGCACTCTACCGCCTGAGCTGTGGCCCCAGACTTACAAGAAAATTGGGAAAGAATAAAAGAGATGTTGATTATGGGGAATGAGAGCAGGTGAGCCATAAAAAACGGCTGTTTTGGTTTATGGTTTTTTTTTTTTTTGTTTTGTTTTTTTGTTTTTTTGAGACAGGGTTTCTCTGGTTTTGGAGCCTGTCCTGGAACTAGCTCTTGTAGACCAGGCTGTTCTCCAACTCACAGAGATCCGCCTGCCTCTGCCTCCCAAGTGCTGGGATTAAAGGCGTGAGCTACCACCGCCCAGCTGGTTTGTTTGTTTTTCTGTGTTTTTGTTGTTTGGTATTTGCATCTGCTATACAGGATGTGATCTCAATTTTTAAAAAAAAGGCAGCCCAAGTTGAAGAGAAAGCTTGTAAGATGCAAGAAAGTTGCCCTTGAGAATTTTTATCTTTTAAGACAGCAAATATTCAGATGTAGATTTGTATGTGACTCTTTAAGATTAGGTCATTAAAGCGTAAAGGGCAGGGGAGATACTGAGTTCACAAGAGACAGAAAAGAGGCCTAGGATCTCGTCTTTTAAATTTTTTTGGGTAGGAGTATGACGTGCATGTGTATCCATGTTTGTACACGAGAGTGTGGGCGTAGGCATGCTGTGGCGAGAGTATGATGTGCATGTGTGTGTGTCCATGTTTGTACACGTGAGTGTGGGCATAGGCATGCTGTGGTGCATATCAGAGGTCAGAGATGTGTCCTCATCTTGAGTCCCTCTGTTGTTCTGGCCATTGTCTCAGCCCTTAGCGGCCCATCTGTGTCAGCGAGGCAGAGGAGGAAGGAGAGCATGGCATATTGGTCCTCAGGTATTTTGTGGCTGAGTGGTTTATTTTTAGTATGTTTCTAAGTAGTTAATGGGATAGATGTAAAGATAGTGAGGTTTAGGCTCAGTGTCTGGACAGTCATCTTTGTACTCTATAATCTGACAACAACATTGAACACTTGTGGGGGGAGGCTGTTTGTTCATTTCCTGGCCACCCAGACTCCCGAAATAATCACACAGAAACTATATCATTTGCAATACTGTTTGGCCAATAGCTTAGATGTGTTTCTAGTTAGCTCTTATATCCTAAACTAACCCATCTCTATTAATCTGTGCATCACTGTAAGGACGTGGCCTACCAGCAAAGTTTCAGCGGGCTCTGGCAGAGGCTTCTGTCTCCTGTGGCGGCTACATGGATTCTCTCTGACTCCACTTTCTCTCTATATATATCTCTTTCAGCCTGGCTTTACTCTGTTAAGCCACTGACTGAAAGCAGCTTCCTTATTAACCAATGACAATAAAACATATTCACAGCATAAATCACCTCGCACATCAAACATTGATTACAGTTTTATTTTCTTGCCAGATGACAGTTTCAGGATGGGTCCTGATTTACTGCTAATCTGTTTTGTGTTAGTGTTTTTAAAAGCCATACGAAGATGGACTTGTCTTAAGACCCTGTAATGTAGACTTTAACACCTGCTTCTATCCTGGCCAGGGCCACTGTCCTGTGCAGTGTAGGACATTCAGCAGCACTGGTCTCTACCTGTTGTACCCATAGCACCCTCTCTACCAACACCAATCAAAAGTCTTTAGACCTTGTCTTATCCCCTGGGAACTTAAGAGCAAAACTGCCCCCAATGAAAAGCGGCTGGAACGTGGGTAAGCCATGGGCTTGGAGCTGGAGAGATGGAAGCTCTGGTTCTGCCACCGTCTCATGTCAAAGCATTGCAGAGGTATGTCAGGGGTAGGAGTCGGGAGGCAGAGGTGGGTGGAGCTCTGAGTTCGATGCCAGCCTGGTTTTTAAGTCTGTATCTAATTCTTCCTGTATACTGATTTATTCTTTCCCTCCCTAACAAAGACCATGAGATAGTTAACGCTAGAGTCTATAAATTCTGAAAGACATCATTCTACAGTGCCTGGTAAGCTTGTAGCTGATGTTTATAAAATGTTTAGCTAAAATTCAGGATAGGCAAGATGGCTAATGGGTAAAGTCACTTGCCACCAAGTATAGCGATTTGAGTTTATCGCTGAGACCAACAACCTCCAACTTGTCCTCTGACCTCCACACACATGCTGTTTCATATGTGCACACATGTACATACACACACACACTACATACACACACTACACAACACACACACTACATACACACACTACACAATACACACACTACATACACACATACACTACATACATACACGCTACTTACATACACACACACTACATACACACACACACTACATACATACACATTTAAACAGTCCTTTAACTCAGATATATTAAGAGTTTGGCTGGCTATCGTACAGGATCACTTGAAGGAAGTGCAGCTGGCAAAGTGCTGTGCACAGGCTACGACCATTTTGCTTTTTAAGCTTAAGGATAATTGAATTAGAGTTTAAGAGGAAACCTTTCTGGGCCAAGCAAGCTGTAATCTCAGCAGCTGCCCAGGGAATAGAAAAGAAACAAAAGCCTGGGCTTAAACTAAGCTGGCCTAGAGGTCAGCCATGTGGTAGCAGGCAGCCATATGGCGAGAACTGGCGCTGTAGAGAAAGCAAAGAAGCCCACAGTTCCAGAAAAAGTATGTCAGGGCTCTGGCCAGCATCAGAAAGAAACAGAGGAAGGAGGAGGAAAGATGCTAAGTTCCATGGAGGACTGTGCAGGGCCAGGGGCTCTGGGAATGGAAAGTCAGATGTCATTAAGGAACTAATTATCCTGCCTATCTAGGAGCCAGATTTTAAAAGGCGAATTTACTCTAATTCAATAATTCAGAGCCCGGAAGTGGTGGCACACACCTTTAATCCCAGCATTTGGGCAGCAGAGGCGGGCAGATGTCTGTGAGTTCAAGGCCAGCCTAGTGTCCTAGTCTGCAGAGTCAGTTCCAGGACAGACAGGGCTGTTAAACAGAGAAACCCTGTCTAAAAAAAAAAAGGAAAGAAAAAAAAGAAAAACAAAAAAAAGGAAAAGAGTACTTAATATTTAAAGTAATATTTTAAAACTTAGTTACTAATTCATAACATGAATTCTGGAAAGCTAACAGGCATTATCTAGCCTTTATTGTTACCTCCTTTGTTCGCTTCCTTGGTCAACAAGACCTGCTGTGTTACTTTGTAACAGGTTCTGTGCTTGCTACTGGCACTAGATGTAACAATGAACAAAATAGTCTCTGCCCAGAAGAACTCCAGTATTCTGTTCTATTGGTTAGGAACAGTCTTCTCTGTATAGTCCTACCGTCCTGGAGCTCCTATTTAGATCAAACTGGCCTCGAACTCACAGAAATCCTCCTACCTTTGTCTCCTAAATTATGGATTTAAAGGCATGTGGCATCACGCCTGGCTTACAATGTGACATTCTAACACACTCTAAGAAGAGTGGAAGTGTAACAGAGGAAACTGAACCCACGGTGAAGGAGAGGGACTGTGTGGAGATCTGGAAGAAGTAGGGGTGTGAGTTACAGCGCTCTCTGAGATACAAGTGCTGGGCAGAAGACATAACTAGCCCTGGAAGAATATTCAGGGAGATACCTGGGCAGGGAGATGGCTCATGGGCAAAAATACCTGATGACCATGGCCTGGGTTCAATTTCTGGAACCCATGTAAAGGTGGAAGCAAAGGAGATTCCACAGGGTTGTTCCTGGAGCTCCACCTGTGCTCGATGGCGTGTGTCCTCCCCCATCATACACACCGACACACAGAGACAGAGAGTAATAATAATGTATGTATATGTTCAAGTGTGTGTGTGTGTGTGTCTGTCTGTCTGTCTGTGTGGTATTTGGGGGTTTTTGTTTTTTCAAGACAGAGTTTCTCTGTAGCTTTGGAGTCTGTCCTGGAACTAGTAGTTAGCTCTTGTAGACTAGGCTGGCCTCAAACTCACAGAGATCTGCCTGCCTCTGCCTCCCGAGTGCTGGGATTAAAGGTGTAAGCCACCACTACCCAGCCTAGTAATGGATGTCTTTAATGATAATTGAATTCTTAGATTTTGTTCATTAAAATTTGTACTTCATTTTCTACCATATTCTAAGCATCAATTTCATTGAATGAAAAGAGAAAGGTGAATTTTTAAAAACTGACATGACTATAGATCTCTAATGTACTTCAGTTCAGACCTTCAGACAGTAAAAGATAGACAGCCGCCTTTCGTCCGAGTCAGTGTATTTGGATATTTCCATCACAGTGTTTGGAGCCTGTGAAAGCACAGTGTCATGGGTGGCCAACTGGGGAGAACCACTCGGGTCTAGGAACGCAAGACCAGCCTGGGGAGCATCTTAAGACCTTGTCTCAAAACAAGAACAACCAAAGCAAATAATTGTCAGAAAGGCAACTTTAATATTTATGCTGCAGCTTGATAAAAACACCCACGTGTCTGACTGATCCAAGCAAAGCTGACGATAATTCCTCTCTGTGAGGGGTCTTCACAGCTTGATAAAGCTCCTTGAATTTCTCTAAGGCTTGGGGATGCTCACATGCACACACTGCTGTTTGAGAGCCTTGGTTGGTAGGGATCCTCACACACACATGAGATTTTTCTCTGATGTGTTAGAACCTAGTGTATTAGATGCTATGTGTATGGTATGTATTAATGACTGAAAGAAAATAGAGCTGGGATACATTGCTAATTTTGAAAATCTGGTTTTGAGATGAATGCGAATCATTAATTGTGAAGATAAACTTTTGTGTGGGAAGCATTTGACATGTGTTTGAAAAGAGAAGAAAATTGCCTGGCAGTGGTGGTGCGTGTCTTTAATCCCAGCACTCAGGATGCAGAGGCAGGCGGATCTCTGTGAGTTTGAGTTTACAGAGTGAGTTCGAGGACAGCTAGGGCTACATAGAGAAACCCTGTCTCAAGAAAAAAAAAAGAAAAGAAAGTTATGTGTGGGAGAGAATAAAAATGAAGTCACATATCTATCTATCTATCTATCTATCTATCTATCTATCTATCTAGTAGGTAGGTAGGTGGATAGATAGATAGATAATGTGACTTCATTTTTCTTCATTCAGATAGATAGATAGAAAAAAGGAAAGAAAGAAAGAAAGAGAAAGAAAGAGAAAGAAAGAAAGAAAGAAAGAATTTTATTTAGAGATTGTCCAAAGAACTGCGAACAGTTTACAGGCATTGATAGTCTGGTCTTCCTTTTGAATCAAGAGAAGCAAATTCTCTGTGGAAGCTAAGTACCTGCTTGTCCTGAGCAAATCAACTGTCTTGTCAGAAGTGACGGAACTGTTTAGGTCCTAGGAAGATGTAGTTGCTGGGTGAAAGTGGAGGTTGTTCTGTCTCCCTCGGTGAAAACATTAAAGTGTTTGAGCCGGTGATGGCTGTTGTGAGCCCAGAGGACAGTGGTGACATGTGAGCCTCACCAGCCTGGCCTCTGCTCCCTTAGTCAGGCAGCACCAAGAGTTCTCTAGACGACTGTGTCTACTCCGCCATGCTTTGCAGACCGTCATCAAGTCCATGGGCTGGAATCTTGTTGGTCCTGTTGTCCGCTGCCTCCTGAGGAACGGGGAAGAGGATGAAAGGAAGGACTGTTTGCTGGTGTTTGACTTACTAGTGAAGGTGAGTCGGGATACCTGGTTCCGTCCGTCGGAGCAGCAGCTCTGCAGTGCCCTGCATGTCGGGCTTTGTTCAGTTACTCTTCTGCAATGCCCAGGCGTGCTTGGCTGGATGGGTGGGCAGTTCCATCTCGCATTTTCCAAAGTTTCCAGATGTAAGAATTATCCAGTCTGAGACCCTGTAAAGGGCTATAAGCCTCTAATTTAACGCGTGTTCTCATTATACAGACGAAGTGAGTGTTGTTGAACCGGTTTACTGCCATGCTGACCCTTGTGCACATTAGACCCAGAATCACATTTTAGTGCTGCTAGAGACATGCAAGCTGAAAGGATTATAAGGGGTGTGAGGGAGGGGGGTGGGGAGGGGGGGTGGGGAGGACGGAGGAGGTGTGTGGGGATCAACAATAGAGTTTGTTTGAAAGTCCCGTGATGAAACCTAATGTGGAAACTAGAGACTGGAGGCGCACACACAAGTGATTGTTAGGGAAGAGGCACTTCCTTCAGATAGTGGGTGTTGGTTCTGAGGATTCTCAAAAGCAAGGCGGTGAGGTGGCTGTCAGGGCGCACCACAAATCACCTGTTCAGAAAGAACCAAAGGGGGCCCTTCGTCTACAGCAGCCAACAGGAGGCACGGTCTCTGAAGATCCTTTTATCAATTTCTAGGGCATAAGCAAATGTAACTGTATTTCTCAGTATGTCTTCTTTAAAATGGTAATCACGTGGCTTTAAATACAACTTGTATTAAACAGGTTCAATTGTGAATATTTTTATAGTTATGTAACCCAAAGGAATTGTTGTTGGGTTTGCTTGAACTCATTGAAGAGCCCTCTGGAAAACAGATTTCCCAAACTATTCTTCTTTTACTTCAGCCACTACAGACAGGTAATGAGAATTTGATATCCAAGTATTTCTTATTGTATTTGCAAATGTACCTTGATGTTTGCCCCTAAATGTGGACAGTCACTGAGTGCCCTGCCCCTAGGCTACTCCAGCAGAGCTGTGGGAACGCTGCGAGGTGCCTGGAAGGTGCTGCTCAGTCAGTACTTTGACAACTCGTTAGTTAGCTTTCATTTTTTAATTAAAAATTTTTACATGTATGAGTGTTTTGTCTGATTGCATATCTGCACACTACTTGCGTGCCTGGTGTCCTTTAAGGCCAGAAATGGGTATCACTTCCTTTGAACTGGAGTTAGAGTGGCTTGTGAGCCTCCACATGGGTGCTGGGAATGGAACCCAGGTCCTCTAGAAAAGCAGCCAGTGCTCTTAACCACTAAGCCATCTCTCTAGGTCCCTGGCTTCTGCACAGTTTATAGTTAGGATTTTCCCTGTAAGCATATTTAGTGGTCAGCTGTGACCTGTAGCATGCAATCTGGGATAGCAGCAGGGTATTGCTCAGCTTCCGGTTTGGGAGGTTGAAGTGGAAAGGTCTGTCTAGAGACTGAAACGAAGCATGGAGAACGAGAAAGCTTTGTGGCTTAGTATTGGCAAATAATATGCCTCAGCAGCCAAGACAAACACTTTTCCATGAAAGAAGTTATTTCCATTTTAGAAATCATATACACTTCAGAATGTGATAGGGACCTGGACATTAGAATAAATTCATTTAAATCTGAATGTCAACCAACCTTATAATTCTCAAATATTCAAAATCTTCTAAGGGCACAAAAAGCTCTATAATACTCTTATCCATTTTATAGTGCTGTGTAATTTTCCATTCATATTTTATGCTTATAATCAAAAATAAGAAAAAATAACCAGTTATAGAAACACTTTATTAGTTGATTTTCTTAATGCTGTGTCCAAGTGCCTGGCACCTGGCAGTCTGAGGAAGAACTGTTGATGTAGGTTAGGGATGCAGTGGGGGACATGGTGGATACAGTCCATCGCGGTGGCGGCAGGGGAGGAAGAATGTTGGTCTGGCTAGGGGTACAGTCCGCCATGGTGGGGAGGCACGGTAGCAGTAGTGAGAGGTGCTGGTCGTAGCGAGAGAGTGGTGCGCTCAGGCCACGCCACCTCACAGCCTGCCTCTCAGCAAGGCTCTGCCTGCTAAAGATCCAGAACCTTCTAAATGCTGACTTCCTCTTGTCCTGTGTGCAGCTGCTTACGCTTGTTTCTGTTGCAGTTATTCAGAAGCTCCCCAACAAGGTGTACTCGGTTGGGTTGGCATTGTCCACCCTTTGGAGTCAACTGTCTCTTCTCCCTGTGCCGTACTCTAAGGAACAAATACAGACAGATGATTATGGCCTTTGTCAGTGCTGCGAGGCCTTAACAGAGTTCATGAGACCTTTTGTGGAAGAAGCGACTGAAAACAAAGAAAACAAGGAAAATGAAAAGTTAAAAGATGAATTACTAAAATTGTAAGTCTGTTTTGAAGGACATCTCACAGTGGAGTGAGTAAGTGGTAGCTCAGTTACCCTGCGTTTCTTATTGGTACATAGAAATCTTGTTTTGGATTTTGAATTTCAGACAGACCTAATGCTGACCTGGTGAATCGTGGCTGTGCAGTGAGGCACTGCCAGTATAAAATCAAACCTTTCACTGAGTTTACTTTCACCCAGCACAGCCAGCAAAGGCGGAAAGTGGGAGCAGTACAGGCATTTAACTCGGAGTTTGTTCTGTCTGGGGAATGCATCTGAGAGCAGCAGAGGACCAAACAGCTGAGCATCTATCCCGACCTCAGGTTCAGCCACGTGCCCATCAGTTGGCATAGGGATGGTCCAAATGAGGGCGTGCCATCAGCATAGAATCGCCTCCAGACTTGAAGACGGGCAGTTATACAAGGGGAGACATACCTGGATAAGGTGGTGCTCACCTGTCATTCCAGCCCTCAGGAGCTGAGGCAGGAGGATGGCGAGATGAAAGCCAGAGACGGAGTTACAGAATAACCTGTCTCAAAAACAAAAACAAAACAAAACAAAACAAAACAAAAAAACCATCAAAACAAAACCTCCAAAACAAATAACAGGCACCATAAGAAGAAAGAAAACGCAATAAAATTCCTAAGTAATCTTTGCATACTTGTGACCTATCAAAATATTTTAGTTAGATTGGGCTAATTGGGAAAATTATTTCTCACAACTTTTCTTATGTGACTCCGCTAAGAAATCTTAAATTGTAAATTATACATGGAATTTGTATTTAAACATATCTTGGACATATCTTTTTCTAGTTTGGGAAACTAATGCTATTGTTAAATCTTAAATTGTAAATTATACATGGAATTTGTATTTAAACATATCTTGGACATATCTTTTTCTAGTTTGGGAAATTAGTGCCATTGTTACTTTTCTGTTTTGCAGGATTAGGGCATTTAAGGTTGGTTTTTATGAGGCAGTTTGTTTGTCGTCTAAGAAACTTTTTTTTTAAAGGCTGTTTTAAAGAACTAGAAAAGACTTAGTCACAGAATAAAGTTGGATTAAAAATAAAGTAACTGGGCAATAGTGGTTTACACCTTTCATCCCAGCATTTGGGAGGTAGAGGCAGGCGGATCTCTGAGAAACGGAATTGAATCTCAGCATATGGAGCCTACCCAGGCATTCTCATGTTTTCCCCATTACTGTTACTAATGAGATTGGATTCATGCTTTTTTTTAAAGAGGTATATTTTTTATTTTATTTTTATTAGATTTATTTATTATGTACAACATTATGCCTGCAGGCCAGAAGAGGCACCAGGTCTCATTACATGTGACTGTGAGCCATCAAGTGGTTGCTGAGAATTGAACTCAGGACCTTTGGAAAAGTAGCCAGTGCTCTTAATCTCTGAGCCATCTCTCCAGCCCAGGATTCATGTTTTAGACACATTATTATTGGTGCTTGCCTTAGGCCATTTGTGCTACTATAATAAAACATGAGTTGATTTATAATAAAATAGTAGCACAATTCTAGACTAGGAAGTTTAACATGGGGTGCTAGGACCTAGTGGAAGAGTAGAGGATTCCAGCAAGCTGAGCCCCTCTTCTGAAAACAGCACAGTCCTTCCCCTGAGAGCGAGCCCTCGGACTGTGACCATGACAATGATTTCCGCCCGAGTAAGTCAAGCAGTGCTTATCTTTCATGTAAAGCTAGACCTGAATGCTGTGTTTGGGATACTGACCCATAATTACCTATTTCTTATGCCTTAGCTGTTGCAAGTGCTTGAAGTGCCCTTTGCTGACAGCGCAATTCCTTAAACAGTCTGAAGAAGTTGGAAAGGACCCTTTTTGGAGTTTTGCATCTGAAATAATAGTAAGTACAGCCAGTCAAATCTATATATACTATAGCTATAATATTTCCTGTAATCTTAAATTTTATTCTTCTATATTCTGATCTATTTCATATGAGCATGTAAATTGATAATTTACTAATAGGGTAATGTGTAACTTTTTTTAGAACACATATAAACAAGATGGCAATTAAATAGTAACTCGTTATCCAAAGCCTTACAAATGTTTCTACTTAGTATGTTAATAAATAGGAAAAAATATATATACATACATATAAGGTCTTGAATGGTTATATCATATATACACCTGTGTATTTTCCTCTTAACATTATAATATAAATCATTGCTATTGATTTAGTAGTATTTTTTTAAAATTGTGTGTGTGTGTTTGCCTGAATGTGTCTGTGTACCACATGCATGTAGGACCTGTGGAAGCCAGAAGAGGTTTTGGTTGTTAGCCAGCACGTGGGTGCCAGGAGTTGAGCTGGATCCTTTAGAAGAGCACCCAGGCCCCATCTCAGTGTAGCGTTGAGGTTAAGCAGTCACCACCGTCACCTCCAGAACATGGCTGTCCCCTGAAGGTCTGCACTTGTGAAGCCTGCCCCTCTCATCCACTGCTCTCTCTGAAGCATTTATACTTTTTTCATGTTGAAATGGTTCCTGTCTTTCTCTCACTATATAACTCTGGCTATACTAGAACTCTCCCCGAAGATCAAGCTGGCCTTGAACTCAGAGATCCACCTGCCTCTGTCTCCAAGTGCTAAGATTAAAGGCGCATGCCACCATGTCCAGCTTCATTTGTGTTGTAAAGTTACTCATTTTATCTTATTACAAAGTGTATGACTTTTTTATGTGCACCACGGGTGTACAACAGCCAAGGAGGCCAGAAGAGAATTCATTGGAATTATGAGTGGTTGCAAGCTGCAGGAGCAGCCAGTGCTCCTCACGGCTAAGCCATCCCCCCAGCCCCCTGCAGTGGTTTGCTCTAGCTCACGCTAAAGCCCTCTGTCTAGCAATCAGACAGTCTGGCTGTCAACAAAACTCATTTGTGTGGATACTTTATTAATTTTAGTCTCAAAATTTATTTTGATGTTTCAAAATAAATATGTAAATAAGTCAATAAAACAAAGCAAAAAAAGCAGTCTGAATATGTCAGTCCCATCAGGGCAATCTTTTGAATAACTCAGAACCAGCTGATCTGAGGCCAGCAGACTTCCTCCCCATCTTAGTCAGGGTTCTCCTGCTGTGAGGAGACACCACGACAGTGCTTCGGGAAGGAGGCGTTTACTGGGGCTTGCTGACAGTTTTAGAGGTTCAGTACATTATCCTCATTGTGGGGAGCACAGCAACATGCAGGCAGACACGGTGCTGGGAAAACGGCTGAGAATTTTACATTCAGACATACGGACAGCAGGAAGAGAGAGACACTGCTAGACCTGCTCTGGGGTTTGGAAACCTCAAAGCCCACCTCCACTGACACACTCCCTCCAGTAAGACCACAGCTTCTTAAACAAGGCCACGCCTCCTATTCCTTCTCAAGCAGTGCCACTTTTTGGTGACTAAGCATTCAAATATATGAACCTATGGGGCCGTTCATATTCACTTAAGTGCCATCAGTGTCTGAGACAGTCTAATCGTGGGACTGATTATTAAAGCAAGTATCTCAATTCTATACGCCTTCAAACAGATAAGGGATTATACAGGGTGTGGATATAGAATAAAGGGTGATAATATAGTTAATTTGCCAATAGCTTACTTTTGAAAAAACCTATTTCACAGGGATTTTTATCAGAAATTGGACACCCTGTCCCCCAAATTATTCTTAATCATGGAAGGAAAAAAAGGACATGGGGTTGCCTTGAGTTGGAGGAAGAAGAAGACAGACAGTTGGCAGACTCTGTGGCCTCTCTGACATACCTAGTATTTGTTCAGGGCATCGGTATTGATCAGCTTCCAATGGTCTTAAGGTAAGAGTCAATATCAAACTCTTGACTGACTTAGTATACTTTACATGTATGCTAACACACTGTCCACGGAAAGAGGCAGATCAGAGATGCCTGGAGAGAAAAGACAGTTAGTGTGTGGCTTGCAGGGAGATGGGGGGCATGAAAGGCATGGAGACAGACAGGTGAAGTACAGCCACACTGGAATTGGGGTTATAAGGGAAACAACACCCCCAACGTTGCGTGCTAGGTGAAATGCCTGGGATGGGGAGACTCCCCCAGTGGAGCTGTAAGAGAGAAGAGGGGGGCCTTGTGAGCCCCACAGGCACAGGCTACAGTATTCTGTGTCTGGAGGTCTGTGAGCTACACAGCACACAGCCAGAGTAGGGGGCGAGAGGCCTCCTAACTTGCTCACTGATAGGGGACCTTGAGCGATCTTGTTGGCAGACTTCTCAGCTGGGGGAAGCAGAAGACCCAGAATTACTAAACCTCTAATGATAAAGGCTTGCCCTCTCCGCTGACTAAGGGAACCACCACTCTGTGTAGTAGGAGGCCGCTTGTTTGTCACTGGATGCTCAGCCCCAAAATAACAAACAGAAACTGTATTAATTAAATCACTGTTTGGCCCATTAGTTCTTGCTGCTGCTTCTTTTTTTTTTTTTAAGATTTATTTATTTATTTTGTATACAGTGTTCTGCCTACATTCATGCTTGTAGGCCAGAAGAGGGCACCAGATCTCATTACAGATGGTTGTGAGCCACCATGTGGTTGCTGGGAATTGAACTCAGGACCTTTAGATGAGCAGGCAATGCTCTTAACCACTGAGCCAAATAGTATGTGTATAAATTTCTCTGTGTGTGTGTGTGTGTGTGTGTGTGTGTGTGTGAGAGAGAGAGAGAGGGGGGGGGGGTTTGGGCTGTGATTGGAGGTCAGTGCTGAGGTCTTATCTGGCATGTGGTCTCTTGTGGGTTTGTCTATCAGTGGTTAGGAGAGGAAATTGCCTATTCTAAACATCTTTTTTTATTCTTTCACATTTTAGCCCGTTGCACCTTTTGCAGCTGAACATGGAACACATCGAAGTGCTTCTGCAAAGGTAAGATGAAATCTCAGGATCGGATGGCATCACTGAACAGTCCTGGGGGAGCGGGAACAGGGTTCAAGTTCTTCCTTAGCAACATGCAGTGCAGAGGCCAGGGCGTGTGGCCCCCGACCTTGTATTTCAGTGTTCATTTGCTTCTCCTAAAGTAAGGAACCATTCTAAAAAAACTAGAAAACCATAATGATAACTTTCAATGTTTTCTTTCAGAACAGAACAGTCTGTTTTCTCAAAAGGATTGGTAAGATTCATTTGCTACCATTTCTGTGTGTGTGTGTGTGTGTGTGTGTGTGTGTGTGTGTGTGTGTGTGTGTGTGTACGCATGCACGTGCATTTGTGGAGGTCAGAGGACAACCTGCAGGAGCCAGTTCTCTCCATTGTATGTGTTCTGGGGACTCAGGTCATCAGGCTTGGGTAAGCCCTTTCCTCTGTTGAGCCATCTTTACAGCTGGTCTGCTAGCATTATAAATATTAAAAATAATGCAACTCGGGCAGGGGTGGCAGGCGGATCTCTGTGAGTTCAAGACCAGCCTGGTCTACAAGAGCTAGTTCCAGGACAGGCTCCAAAACCACAGAGAAACTCTGTCTCGAAAAACTAACTAACTAACTAACTAACTAACTAACTAAATAAATAAATAAATAAAGCGACTGTCAATGTCACCTTGAATGTACGTGTGTATTTCATCTGTAGGAACTTTTGGAGAACAGCTTACTGAGATTAGAAGACAACAGCCTACTCCATCGGTACTTAGAAATCAAGAGTTTTCTCGCTGTGCCTCAGGTAAGCAGAATATATATTCAGCTCTAAAGCAGCTCCCTGCCTATTCTGAACTCTGCCAAAGTAATGTGTGCCTGCAGTCCCTTTCCTTCTCGGCCTCTGCAGGTGCTGCTGCTGCTTCTGGTTGAGTTTTTGTGCTGATGGAAATGGTTTCCCATCTATGCCAAAAGCCAGACTATATGGCTAGCAAGACTACCGAACTGAGTTTTAAATTCTATTTTGATTAATTTATACTTTAAAATAATTTTATTCTTTTTGAGTTTCCCCCAGCTCCTAGAATTAACCTAAACAGCTATTGGCGACCTTCTCCTGGCTTGCACTCCCTGTCCGTCTCCATCTTTGTTTGCTCTGAGTGTAGAAAATTCTTAGTATTTAAATAGAAAAGAATGTCTTTTGCTACTACATAAGCTTGGTTACACTTAATGAGTGTGTTATACTTCTGCATATTTGATTTCCTTTTCTTGCTATTCTATACATAACTGAAAATCACCATTGCCTTTGAAACCACACCAAGTCATACCTCACTTTGTTCTGTGTGCAGAGCTGACTGCGGTTAGTTTGCCGTAGACGTAGCCATGAGGCCAGGGGAGCTCATCTCCTTAGCCCGGGTGTCTCCTTTAACTTCCATTGTGGTCAAAAGTATATATGAATTTGAAATGTTTTTTCTTTATTTCTAGGGCTTAGTCAAAGTAATGACACTTTGCCCCGTTGAGACATTGGTATGTATGATTGGAGACTAGCTATGAGTCACAGTGAGAAATGTTAATAAATAACTAGATGTAAATGTTTCGTGTAATAGTATTATTTGTTTCATTCCAGAGGAAAAAGGGCTTGGCTTTGCTCCAGCTGTACATCGACAAGTTGGATTCACAAGGCAAACACACACTATTTAGGTATGTATGTATCAAGGCAGACACATTATTTAGGTATGTATGTATCAAGGCAGACACACTATTTAGGTATGTATCAAGGCAAACACACACTATTTGGGTATGTACAAGGCAGACACACTATTTAGGTATGCATGTATCAAGGCAGACACACTATTTAGCTATGTATGTATCAAGCTGGCGAGCTCGGCACTTCTCTTGCCCTGACAAAGTCATTGAGACAAAAACTTGTTTGGGTTCAGTGTGCCGTCCGTGGCCTGTGGTAAGACAGAGCTCATGGAGGAGGTGTCTGGAGGCCATCATGGAGCAGAACTGGTCACCTCACAGGAAGGGTCAAGGACAAGCCATCCTGTCAGGCCTGCCTCCAGAGACCTGCTTCCTGTCCCCACCTCTTAGCAGGACCGTTCTGTTATGACTCACTGACGGGTTGATCTGCTGGTTGACTTGAGCCCTCACAGCTAATCAGTCAGTTCACAGAAGTCTGTCGGCTGCACCCAGTCTTTAACACATGAGCTTTTAAGAGACATTTTTAAAACATAGCCCATGGATAATAACCTAGTGTGTGACTGATTGAAACCTACTAATGCCATGTAATTATTTAAAGGTACAATATTTGTACAATATAGTTCAGTATCTGTAAGAGCTAAAGAATCAGCTTATCAAGTATTTTGGAAACATATAATGTCTATTATGTGAATAGCAGTGTATAATTTTTAGTTTAATTGAAATATTGTAAACTTACTCTAAGAGAGACAAATATGGATCTGAATAGGAAGGAGAAAAAGATAAGATCTCCTGAGTAAACTGGGAGTGTGGGGGTCATGGGGGAGGAAGGGAGGGGAGAAAAATGTATAGTGCAATAAAAACAATTAAAAAAACTCCAAGCAGTCTTAAAAGAATAACAGAGATTGATAATGTTCCTGCTAGAACCTTAGAGTTCAATAGTCTCATTGTTTATAACTGAACTGAGAGTCCACGGAGATCTGTAACTTTGACAGGCCAGTCACTCCATTACTCTGAGATCTTACCAGTAGAGTTTTTAGTAGAGTTTTAGGCAATACGTTAAACGTTAGAAAACTCTGTAATAAATAGAGGCTTTCTAAGGCCATCGCAGTGTACGGGAGATTCCACTCCTCTTCCACTAGGAGGCGGTGTATTCCAACAACACTGACCGTAGCCTACCATCTTAGCCCACTTCACCCTGGGCCGGGTACTAAGTAAGAATGAGGCGCAAACTGATTGAAGCAATGTCGGGATGCGGGGAGTGTAGAGTTCTAGCATCCCAGGGCCTGTCCTAGTCCTCTGACAACAGAGTCAGGCCCAGCTCACACAGCCTCAGCCCTTAGATCTTATACCAGATTTCTCACTTTGTCCCGCCGTACTCTGCTGAGAGACCCCTTTCTCATAGTAGCTTCCCATTACAGGCTCAGTCTGTGCAGTTGGCTCTGTTGCTTTAGGGCAGCAGAAGGGCCACCTCACCTCGTCGTGGCCAGGAGCACAGGGACAGCTGGGTAGAAAGGGTTAGAGTCCCGGTCCCTTCTTCAAGCGCATGCCCCTAGGGACCTAGTTTCCTTTCATGAGGCCCCATTTCCTAAAGATGCCACCACCACCAAGTGAGAACCAGCACATGAGCCTTTGGGGACACTGGAGACCTAAGCCATTAGCAGTGCCGTCGGGTTTCCTGCAGCGAATAAGCCAGCGGCAGCCTACTTTCACAGGGAGCACTCTGTGCTTTGAGGTTGTACCGGTGCTCACTCTTGGCGTGTTAAATTATATGCACGGTTTAATAGAAATTTGTTGTTTGAGGGCTGAGGAGGTGGCCCAGTGGTAAGAACACCCTCTCACAAGCGTGGGGGCCTGTGTTCAGATCTCCAGAATCAACACAAAAACTGGGCAGACACCAGGCAGTGGTGCTGCTGCCTTTAGTCCTAGCGCTTGGGAGGCGGAGACAGGAGGGTCTCTGACCAGCCTGGTTTTCAAAGTGAGTTCCAGGAAAGCCAGGCTATGCAGAGAAACCATGTTGGGGGGGGGGGGGGGGAGCATGTAACAATAACGAAAACTGATCATGACTCTATGTGCCTTTAACTCCAGTGCTGGGTGGGAGGTTAGAGGATTGCTGGGGCTTGCTGTACCAGCCTAGCTTTAGGTTCAGTGAGAGACCCTGTCTCAAAAGAACAAGGAGATGGATAGAACAGGACACTCACCCTTCTCTGGCCTATGTGTGCATGTGCGCACACACACACACACAAGAACAGGACACTCACCCTTCTCTGGCCTACGTGCACACACACACACACACATATAAAAGAACAGGACACTCGCCCTTCTCTGGCCTACGTGCACAAGCGCGCGCACACACACAAAAGAACAGGACACTCACCCTTCTCTGGCCTATGTGTGCATGTGTGCACACACACACACACCAGCTGACAGAACAACACACCCATTCTCTGACCTATGCACATGTATACACACACACTAAAAAGGTGTTTTAAAGACCCAGTTGTACATGAGATTTACCAGGTAGTGAAAGCAAAAGCTGTTAGGATAACTTCACAGGTCACTGGCCACGCTGATAATTGTCCCCACTGTGAAGTTTATAATCAGAAGTTACGTGAGGCCCAATTGAATTGTAAACTTTTTTATCACTATTATATTGCAATTTAATATAATTTCATGTGTTATAATTATGCTTTAAAGGTGCTTATTAAATACAAGTAATCACTCCGGTGTGGAAGGCTTCGTAATTCAAAATATCAAAAATCAGATTGATGCGTCATTTAAGGTAAGAATACAGACCCAGGTTTGGGTTAGTTACCAGTTTATTCATGTGTGGCATATGTCCGTGTTGGTTTACCCACAGGATTTTTCTGTCTGTAATATTAAAGTATAATCCCGTTTAAAAAGAAAACCTGCCCCCCTGAATTTCATTAACTATAAACTTAAACTGTATTACTTCTTTTGGCTGATAATATAAGTTGTGCTGTATACTTCAGGAAAATACAAATTTGAGTCTTATCTGTATGTGGCCATGCATAACCAACCCCACACAGAAAAAGATCCCCAGGGTTCTCAGGCTGGTAAGACCTTCCCTAGGTCTGGAAAGTGAATGGCACATAGGAATGAGAGTTAGAGAATCTGTAACAATATGCAACATTTATCATGCTATTACATGAACTTTTCATAATCTTTCTTTTGCTTTTCAGAAAACATCTAACAAATGGTTTGCAGGCCCTCAGCTGATTTCGCTGTTGGACTTGGTACTGTCCCTCCCCGAGGGTGCTGAAACAGACTTACTACAGAACTCAGATAGGTGAGGTGACCATCGCCAGGGTTCTGAGAGTAAAATTCCTAAACTAAGAAAGTATTTCCTGTGATTTTAGGACCTGTAGTTAGTTCATAAAAGTATGTAAGCCTTTCCTATTTAAGTTACTCAGTGACTTAGATAGAAACAAAATCTCTTCTTTCCAGGACAGTGACTGATTTTCTTTTTCTTTTCTTTTTTTTAAAGATTGATTTATTTATTATGTATACAGTATTCTGCCTACATATATCCTATAGGCCAGTAAAGGGCATCAGATCTCATTACAGATGGTTGTGAGCCATGTGGTTGCTGGGAACCGAACTCAGGACCTCTGGTAGAGCAGTCAGTGCTCTTACCCTCTGAGCCACCTCTGCAGCCCAAGTGACTGATTTTCCATCTCAGCATCACACAGAGATTTGTGAAACCACAGCATTTCTGACTAGAATTTAAGAATCTCACAAAAACAGTGCACAAAGGGATTAAGTATTTGGACTTTGTTTTCCATGTCTATTTTTTCCCATGTAGAGTATAAACTTTCACTTTGGTGTATTAGAATGGATGTGGGGAAGAAATGATGATCTCGAGGATGGCTGGGCTGTCTCTGGGGTGAAGGAAATAATGCTCACCTAGTCTTGTGAGCTCACATCAGGACAGCCATGAGCTGCTGCCACTCCACAAATGGGTGGGGATAGTGTCCAAGGGCAGCTGTGTTGACAGTGTCATTTCCAAGCTTTTAACTTGCTTAATATATTTCAGCTGTTGATTACATAAATCTATACTGAAGATAACAAGTTATTTTTTAATTAACAGGATTATGGCTTCATTAAATTTATTGAGGTATTTGGTTATCAAAGATAATGAAAATGACAACCAAGTAAGTGAATTATTTGGGAAAGACCCTGTGAGTATATTAAGAATGCATGAGCTGTGCTTACCACTGTCCTGAGCACACCTTTGTTATTCTTACCCAGCTGTGACACTTGGGTACCAATTCTGACACCTCCTGTCGGCTCCCAGGCACACTTGGCTTCTCACATCTAACCTGTTTTTCCTGCTCTGTCTCTGCTCTTTTTAGGAAGTCTTGCTAGGCCTTTGTTTTAGTTAGAGTTTCTGTTGCTGTGAAGAGACACCATGACCACAGCAACTCTTATAAAGGAAAACATTTAATGGGGTGGCTTACAGTTCAGAGGTTTAGTCCATTATCATCATGGAGGGAACACGGCAGCATGCAGGCAGACATGGTGCTGGAGAAAGAGCTGAGAGTTTTACATCTTGCAGGCAACAGGAAGTGAACTGAGATGCTGGGTGTGGCTTGAGCATAAATGAGATCTTAAAGCCTGCCTCCACAGTGACACACTTTCTCCAACAAAGCCACACCTCCCATGTGTCCCCCCCCCCCCCCATGAGCTTATGGGGGCAATTACAGTCAAACCGCCACAGTCCTGCTGGTCACCTGTTAACTGGCCTTGTGGAGCTCCACAACACTTGAACTCCTTGCTCAGTCTCTTCTGCTTGTATATAGCTCAGGATTTTAATTAGAGTTATATGAAATAAAATTATTCTAAATCATCTCATCAGACATGACAAACTGAAACATATTTAGCCCCAAAACTGAGTTTGTTAACAGTGCTTTTGAATGGTGTGTAGGAAGTTGGATCTTTTTTAATAGCACTTCATTAGAAGTGTTCAATAAATAGTAAGCTACTTGAGGGAGATTTGTCATGCAGTAAAATCACATTTACTTTTAGGCTCCTTCCTGCCTACTCCGTTCTAATAACTGCTCTCCTGTTACCTGTAACCATATGAGTCACGCCAGTCTGGACTTTTTTAAAGTGATAGGCAGAATGAAAGCAATTAAGTTTCACATAAAAGTGCCACAGTTTTTATTACTCAGGTAAGTCCCACCTGGGGATGAGAAGTCCGAGGAGCAGCAGGACCGTGAGTGGACCTAGCGGACTCGACACTGGGCTTCGTCTACACTAGATGATTGTCTTATTGTGAAAAACGTTGAAAGGTCCAGCAGCGATGAGAGACCTTTACAGCAGCCGTTCAAGACAGGGTATCAGTGTAGCCTTGGCTGCTCTGGAACCAGCTCTGTAGACCAGGCTGGCCTTGAGCTCTCAGACGCCCACCTGTCTGCCTCCCTAGTTGGGATTAAAGGTGTGTGCCACCACTGCCCGGCTCTCATTGTTGTAAAATTTGGTGTATTTCAACATTAACTGTAGCTATCAATATATTTTGTCCCAAATATTTCAGCATATATTTCATTAGGCAGAGTTAAATATATGTCAGCATTTTTCTTGAAAGTAAAATTTACATAAATGAAGTGCACAGACATGTATATCAAATTTACCATCACCACAGACGCTCCCATATGTCCTCATGGCCACCCATTCACTGACAGAGGTGACCGCTGTCCTGGCCAGGTGCTGTGCCCCATTCTTCACAAGGCTGGAAGAAAAGAGCTCTTTGTTTCCCTTCTCATCAATCCTCTCTCAGGAAAGGTCAATCATTGGCTCAAATGTGGATGTCTAGAAAGTGATACAAGTTAGCTATGACTCCTTGTAGAACTTTTGAAATTAAACTAACACTTGCCTCCTAAAGGGGCTAAGGCAAAAACAAACAAACAAACAAAAAAGTACAATATAAATTGAGTAGCCCTGGGCCTTGACCTCAGCGGGTGTCCTTAGGGAAGCTGTGAGTTTAGCATTGCCGTAGTCAGGAAGGCTGAACATACACCAGAGACGATGGGATTCTCACTGACTAGGAAGGACAGATGTACTTTCTATGGAGTCTCTGCTGTCTATCCTGACACCCATAGGTAAAGCCTTGCTACTTCTCAGTGTGGACATTTTATAACGAAGGACAGAATATGACTGAGAGGGCTGGCTTATTAATGGTTTCTTTTTCCCTAGGCACCAAATACTGGTTTTGTTTGTTGGTTGGGTTTTGTTTTTTATCTGTGTGCCACTATAAGCATTTTTATACCAAGGAATTATTAGTAAAAGTCCTCGTCTCACTTGCCACATTGATGCCTTATACGCTTTGTAGCCTGTCTGTAATGGAAACATTCCTAACAACAGTTACAAGGAAAAGCAAATTTAGCCACTGTGGTTAGCAAGTAACTGACAGCTTCCGTCCAGGTGTGACTTCTCTGCACGGTGGCACTGACAGGGACGACTGAGGAAGGATCACAAGTTCCAGGCCAGCCTGCAGTGCAGAGCAGGGCCCTGTCTAAAGCAAAAGTGCAGCTTCTGGCCGCTTACAGTGACCGTGGTACTGTGGTGATGCGGGGTTGTGCCTTTTTACTTGGAGGAACCCCTACCAGTTCCAGTTTTTCATTTAGTTGTGCTAAGAGATGAAAACTAAAAGGCCAGAAGGGCACACGGGGAGACAGAATCCCTTCCAATATAAAGTGATTCACCAGGAGTGATAATCTCTCTTTTCTGACCAGCCTGAGTTGGAGCCAACCTCCACTTTCCTACGTCCTCCTCGCCCAGGGTCCTCCCACTCTGGGCTCCCTGCGCGTTTTCAGCGCTTTCTCCCACACTTAGTTTCCTGTCGTTTTTAGACTCTTATAGACGAATAGTTCCTGTCTCTAATTTTTATAGCTCACATTCTCTACTGTTGGGTTTCTTCAGATAGTGGTTACTTGTTTTGAACTGCAAGATCATTCTAAAATAGAGCCATAGTTGTGCTGTTAACTTCTGTCCTCTTCACTCAAATCCTTTCGAATGTCTGTTATTCAAAATTAAAATATGCCAGGAGTGGTGTTGTAGCTCAGTGGCAGAATAACTGCCTGTTGTGAGGTCCTGGGTTCAATCCTTAGCACCGCAGTGAAAAAGCGAGATGAGTTTAAACATCCCCGGTGCGTGCTCTGCGCGAGGGGGGGGGGGCATCCCCAGTGCGTGCTCTGCGGGGGTGGGGGGACGATATCCCCAGTGTGTTCTCTGCAGGTGGGGGGTTGGGGGGGCGTCCCCAGTGCGTGCTCTGCGGGGGTGGGGGGATGATATCCCCAGTGTGTTCTTGGCAGGTGGGGGGGCGTCCCCAGTGCGTGTTCTGCGGGACCAAACATCCCTGGTGCGTGCTCCATTTCTTTTATTATGGTTGACTGTCTTTGCAAGATTCCTACCTGTTTCAGAACCTACCTCACTGTGCTGTAAAAATGTCTAATGGGGTTGGGTAGGCTGCAGTGAATTATTTGTTTTCTAGACCGGCTTTCTCTGTTGCTTTGGAGCCTGTCCTGGCACTAGCTCTTGTAGACCCGGCTGGTCTCGAACTCACAGAGATCCGCCTGCCTCTGCCTCCCGAGTGCTGGGATTAAAGGCATGCGCCACCATAGCCCGGCTGGCTGCAGTGAAGTTTTAATGCATGGTTAAGACAGAACTCAAAAGGTTTCAGAACTGTTAAGTCAGTGACTTGGATATGAAATGAAAGGCAGGCAATCGTGAGGATTTCAAAAGTTCAATCCTTATAAACACTGTAAAAATCTTGTTACTTTTTTAAGATGAAAGAAATCTTACGCTTTCTTCTTTTGTGTTTTAAAAAAGATGTGGTAACTTTCCTGTAAGACAGAGTATATTTTTACCTCCATAGCGTCTTTACGCCTACACGCTTCCAAAAGCAGTACAGTTCATTACAGGAAAGATGGAATTATGCTAAACAGCATGCAAGAGAAATTCTCTTTAGCCCAATTTTGAAGGGTGTTTTTATTAATGTTTTAATGTTATGGATTACAAATTAAAATAAATTAATGCCCTTAGCTTGATGCCATGGCTCATGCCTATAATTACTGCCCTTGGGAGGTGAGGTTGCCACATTTTTCTTAAGAATGAAGTCATGCTATACAAAGTGGTTTCTTCCATTCAGTATTTATTCAAGAAAAAAATGTCTATGTAGTTTTCTATTATGTGGATATACCACAACTTACCGTTTTCCTGCTTGGAAACATTCTTGCACTCTCCTTCGTTGGACGTTGTTTTTAAAGGCACCTCTGCAATGCAATCATCATAAAATGCACCTTTGTTTACCCAGGAGTAGTCCATAGATGTTGCATGCACTGATAGGTATTAAGTCTGAATTCCTATCTAGTTTCTCTTTAGACCTCTGCATTTCCCAGCAGAAGATGGGGTTTTTGAAAGTCTTTTTACTAGCATATATTATTTGGCCAAATAATGCATTTCATTATGACACTTTCACAGGTGCACATAAGATGTCTGTCGTTGTGAACCCCACTTACACTCTGGCCTCCTCCCGCTCGTTCCTCTCTCCAGTAGCCCTCCTCTGCTTTCATGTCCTTCTCTTTAAAAAGCTGGGTTCTGCATGTGAGGACTGTCTGAGCATCTTATTTCACACCAGATTAACTTCAGTCCCAGGCACTCCTCTGGAAGTCCATGGTGATTGGTGCTCCTTCGTGTACACATGGCATTCTTTCTGTCCTCTTGATGGGCACCTAGCTTGGATGTAACCTGGGTGTGTGAGAATCACTAAGTGTGTGCTAGCTTTGATTCATGTTCTATTTGTAGATTTTTGAGGAACCTTGATACCAATTTCTGTAGTGACCGGACAGATTAACATCCCTGCTAGCAATGCATGAATGCTCCAGAGAGTTCAGGGAAAGGCGTGTGGAGTCATCATTATCAGTTGTTACAGAAGCTTCCCATAAGCTCACTATAAAGTGTTCCATCTCATTCTCATGGTTACAGATAACTGAATTCCCTTTGTAAACTCTATTTTCTGGTGTAAAGAGTACCGGAGTCTTATACCACCAATTTCTTGTATTTATCTGTCCTTTTTTTTTTTTTTTAGAAAAAAAAAAAAACCAACTTCATTACTGTCCCCTTTTTTTGTACCACAGTTGTAAATGATCTTGACGTGAAAACTTCTCGGACATATGACAAAATAATGCTAAAGTAACCATCTACCTTGGTCAAATTGTTTCGGTTTTAAAAGTCTCCATGAGTAGGAAAGAGAACAAATCCCTAGAATGTGACCCGTGGCCAAGCACACTGACTGATAGTCCAGTGAGGAGGCCTTCTTAAAGTGGTGTGGAGATGGCAGGATGTCAGAGTTCACTCTGGCACAGCTCACAACCAGCAGCTGTTTAGGCTGCCGTGTCGGTTGCAGAGGGCACTCCTGACGGACACCAACATTGCTGTCTCTCCCAGTGGTGCCTGTGTATTAACAGAAGGCATCCTCTGGATGCTGAACCAAGGGACTAATTTGTTCATTTAATCTTCTGAACAGACTGGATTATGGACAGAACTTGGAAAGATTGAAAATAATTTTTTAAAGCCACTTCATATAGGACTTAATATGTCAAAAGCACATTATGAAGCAGAAATTAAAAACAGCCAACGAAACAGCCAAGGTTAGTGGCATGTAGTTTTATTTTCTATTAAGTTTGAAATTTAAATTCTGAAATGATCATATTTTTAAAAATATTTTGTGTGTGTGTGCATTTATGTGTAAGTGTGTATGAGCCCATGGAAGTCAGAAGAGGGGGTGGATCACTTGGAAATGGAGCAGGTGTTTCTGAACCTCCGTGTGGGTGCTATTAGAGTGCTAAGTGCTCTCAGCCCCAAACTATCACATTTTAGTACATGTTCATTTATGCAAAAGTGAGAGGCCATGAAAGCTTTATTTGTGTAATTGAAATGATTCTTAACCAATAAAGCTGTTACCTAAAGAATCCGCTCACATTGCACAATTCTAGTGTTTAATTTTTATTTGTTGGTAACAAATATTTTGTAAGGTGTTACCTCACTGACACAATTTAAAATTATCAATGATTAAAGTAGCTTGTAAATTATTATTAAATTAAATTGTTATTAAAATCTGAAAGGTGAGAAGATGGCCCAATAGGTGCTTGCCGTCTGCCAAGCCCTAAGCCTCGGTTAAATCTTTGGGGCCCAAGCGGTAGAAGAAGAGAACCAACTCCTCCAAGTTGTCCTGTGACCCCACACACACATGTACCATGCCACACATACCCACACAAAGTTCATAGATAGATGTAGTAAAGTCTGGCAGTAAAGCATTGCCCAGTGCCGACTCTGGGGGCTGCTCAGGTGGCAGCATGTGGAAGGTCCTTTCTTCCCTTACAGCAGCCTCGACGTGCAAAGGCGTCTGCTCTGTGACTGTAGGTGGAGAAGAAATCCCTGCTATGCCTCCTGAAATGCAACTTAAGGTAACTCCCAAAATTTTAAGCTACATCCAGTCTGAGGTCTGTTCTATGCTTTGCTTTAGAAACCGCGTTAATAACACAGATTCTGCTGGGTGTGGGGACGTGGACCTGGAACCCCGCTGACACAGAAGGATTGCCAGTTGGAGGCCAGTCTGGGCTCCTTCACGAGACCCTCTCCCAAAAAGACTAGTAATGACCATAGTAATGTTCTTTTCTTGGTATTCAGGTCCTGCATTCAGCTCTTTTCACATTTGACTTGATTGAAAGTGTTCTAGCTCGAGTAGAAGAACTCATTGAAATCAAAACAAAGTCTACCTCTGAAGAAAACGTTGGAATAAAGTAAAAATTCTGCTTCATAAATAAAAATCAATAAGATGATGTTTCCAGTATGTTTTACAATGTCAAAAAATTATTTGCAGGAACACAGGAACTTACTTCTAGAAAAATACAGTTGGGGTTGTCAGTTTCTGATATACAGATGCGTGGTACCCAGCCTTCACCTCCCAGAGCCTGGAGGGATGGCGCGGTCTTGCCGCTTTTCCAGGCACCCATGTGATACACACACACACACACACACACCATAGGCAGGCAAAACATCCATACACATAAAATAATTTTTTTAAAAAGTACTTCTTTAGAAGATTTGATACAAACTAATTTGTTTTATAACATCAAAAAAATGTAGTCAAGATGCTTTATTCGTCCACATAATGTACCAATTATTTTCTCTTTGCTTTTCCAGTGTTTATAGCAAGGGCCTATATATGCCCGAGGAGCACTGTCCCACACAACTACACTCAAAAACATTAACGGAACCACTCAACCAAACTCCCAAAATAAAATCATGTTTAATTGCATACATATTTTAAATATAAATGGTCTTAAATAGACATTTGGACATTATAATTTAATAAGTTTAATTATTTTTATATTTTTCTAAATGAACACTTATAATCAAAACTCTGAATTTGGACTAACTGAATCAGTACTCAGTTTTAGCTTTTGGAGTGTTCTCCAAACAGGGCTTTGCTCTATGATGTAAGCTTTGGTTGTCACCATTCTATAGCAGATGCTGTCTAAGGCTGGCTTGGAGGTAGTCTGGAGGGAGATGTAAAATGTAACAGCAGTTACAGAAACAGTCTTTCTGTAGGATCATATATTTAAAAATTCATTTTACTGGAGTGGTGGCATGTCTTAGATCCTCTCACTTGGGCTGTCAATGCTTCCAAGAGCCATAAACAATCTAACAAAAACCCCATCACTCGGCATGAGAAGTCCTCTTTTGAGTTGCTGGAGACTCCCAAACATTACAGGCTGTGGCTGTTGCCCTTGGCTGCCCCACATGTGGAAGGTAAGTCCCTATTGCTGAAGGCTCTACACACTTCAGACACAGGGCACTGAGGCCCAGAGCTAGAGTGGACCTGACGGCTTTCTAGGAACTAGCTTTCATGGTCCCAGAAGATGCCATGCAAGCTTCCAAATGATGGAAGCAACCCACAGTCCTCCCCAGCTGTGCCGCCTGTGACCACAGTGACCAGCATGACAACAACATAAGGTGCAGTGGGGCACTCATGTCTTAGCAGAACCAAGAACTACCTGGACGTAAGACCTGGTCAACAAGAGGGCGGTCATGCATGCTACCAGGAACCTAGCCAACTCCCTGGGACTAGTGAAGTCATGAACTTGGAGAACCCACAACCACCACTTCTCTAAACCAGCACAATCCCTAACTACACCCCTCATCCAGGAAACTTCTCTTTGATGAGGATGCAGAGCCAAGAGCCAACGGCTTCTGCACCTGAGGCTGGGTCCTTGCAGAAAGGGCCCCAAAGAGTTTTAAAGAGACAGTGGGGGAGTTTGCTGGGAGACTGTCTCCTAGAAATGTCAGAAGCTAGACCCATGAAGTCTTATCAGTATGGATGTCCAAACACGCCATAAGAGACACCAGTCGATGTGCTAACATGGAAGGGGAGAGAGCATGAGAAGCCAAGTCTAGGCGAAGCACTGCAGGCAGCTTGGGATGCTGACGTCAGGAGATGGAGCCTCCAGGGGAGCCCCACACTGGTTATCTAGTACTAAGTGGTCAGCCTGAAAGCCTACACATACAAGTAACATCAAAGGGACTGACAGGTTGTATTTAGATATTAGGAACACATACATGTAACAACTAAAGAAAAAGGCCATAAACTTGAAAGAGTTGGGGTGCATGGGAGGGCTTTAAGGAAGCAAGGGGAGGAAGAAATGGAGTAATTATCTCAAAAATTTATTTAAAAACAAAAACCTTAAAATCTCTGGCCAGCGTATATTTGTGTATGAGTACCTCTCCCCCGGGGACTTACCTTAGCTATAGTGCACATGAGGTCAGCAGCATTTGCTGTGTTGTGTACAGGAAGTATTCGTAAGTTACTGCCCAAAAACCTGAAAAGAGTGGGGGGGGGTCACATTTGCTGTCGACAGCAGGACAGAGACTGCACTCCACTCTGTCCCATGCTCATCCAGTCACGCCCTGCATTGTCCTCACAGGATCTGAGGTGGCTGTGTGACCAGAATTCAGAGCTCTTTGGCTTGCTTTTGTAGAATAGGTCTGTCACCAAATCAACTCTAGTCCTAACCTGAGGAACAGCTGTCTGCCCTGTTTGGTTACAAATGGCAGGTTATAAAGTTTGTCTTCTAGCAAAACAAAACTCAATTGCCTACAAGCATTAAGAACTGAAGTAAACAAAGCAGTGTAAACAATACAAACAAAACCCGGGGCTGTGCTCTGGTCCATACCTCTGATGAATCCTGAACATGAGATTCCATTCTTCAGGCCCATGCAGTGGGGCAAACAGAACCAAAAAACTATTCTGGTGAATGTTAATAAACGTCTCAATTTTGGTTAGAAATATTTCCTCCGTTGATACACATTCCTTAGCATCCACCAATAAAAATGCAACTCCTAGAAAAGGTGAATATAATGTGGTCATATAAAGTGAATTCCGTAAGATCAGGGACCCCAAACTCATTTACATATTCATATAAATCTGTTGTTATAATCTTTACATTACAAGGTGGTTTGAGTCTTTCTTTGCCATGCGCTACAGCAGAGTGACTGTTCCAAGTATGTAAAGGGAAGACACTGCCCAGTCATTTTTTCTTCTACCTAAGGCACTGGGCACATAAAAGTGATGCCTAATTTTAATTAAAAGATTAAGTCTATTTTGAAAGTCAACCCTTCAATCCAGGTGTGGTAGTGCACGTGTACAATCTCAGCATATGGAACATTGAAACAGGAGAATCGTGAGTTCAAAACCATCCTGCACTACAGAACCAGCCAGGACTATAGAATAACAACTTGTCTCTGTCTCTCTCTCTCTCTCTTGGTTTTTCGAGATATGGTTTCTCTATGTAGCTTTGGAACCTGTCCTGGAACTCAATCTGTAGACCAGGCTGGCCTTGAATTCACAGAGATCCACCTGCCTCTGCCTCCTGAGTGCTGGGAGTAAAGGCGTGCACTACCATACTGCCTGGCTAGAACTTGTCTCAAAATATATTTCATACTAAAGTACTTTTGGAAACATTTACTGTCTTATTAGAAAGGCTATTCCAAAGGACACAATAAACAGCCAGGGACAGGCATCCAGGAAGGAGCCATGCCCTCCCCACACCCACTACCGTACAAGCACTCCATGTGTTAACCCATCTGCACCTCGGAAGATCCTGTGTTGACTTTCAAAAGCTAAAAATCAACGTGATAGGTAGTTTAAAGCAAATCTTCAAAACTTTTGTTGGAAACCTTCCTAGAAGCTCAGGAATCAGGTAAATGAAAACAACCCCAGTGAGCAGATATCTGGTGTCCGGAATGGGGCCAATTCATCACAGTGGTCTTAGGGGAAACCTGAGTTAGCTGTGGCGTGAACATGTAGGTAAGACTAGACAGCAGCATGTGATCAGTGACTGAATGCATGTGTGCACTTTACGTGACCTCTCTGATCCTCACTGTCCTCCAGGACATGGAGAGAGTAGTTCTCTGCGGGGCTTGTCAGAGGGTTAAACATACGTATGACAACTAAAACATCACGTCACCAAGAACACTTGACTTCTCTCTCTGGAGTGTTTTCTATGACAACTAAAACATCACGTCACCAAGAACACTTGACTTCTTTCTCTCTGGAGTGTTTTCTATTCAGCCAAGAGGAATGATTTTGGACCCAGGTAATTTTCAGCATGAAGGTCTTTCTAGATGACTCAGAAAGTACCTGCCATCCAAAATCTCTGCTAGAGCGGTAACCCTCCTAATAGAATCTTCTCTTTCTTTCTTATTTTGAGATGGTATTACTGTGTGGTCCAGGCTGGCCTTGGACAGCCTGCACTGTGGCTGGACACAGATGGAGACGGCTCCCTTCCTCCACCCCTGTCACGTCTCTTACTTCCCAAGCACAGATGGAGCTGCACCTCAATATTCCCACACCTTCTTAGCCTAATTTAGTCCTGTACTTTGCCCATGACTCACCCACAATTTTAGAATTTCAGAACGTTTGTTCCCATAAAGTTCTCCAATGATTTTTTTTCCAGCAAATAAAACTAATGGGAAAACATCATATATTGGTTTGGGTATGTACATTTGGCCAAGGTCTACTGCTGGCCTCCGTTAACTTAAATATAGATGGATGATAGATAGATAGATAGATAGATAGATAGATGGATAGATAGATAGATAGGTAGATGGATGGATGGATGGATGGATGGATGGATGGGGACTTTTCTATTTTCGCCTCAGTCCCAAAGCAAGCCCTTTTCCATCCCCTAGCAGATCCCATTTAACCAAAGGGACGAGTCCTACAGTTGGCCATATGCGTGATTTTGCAGCAAAAGCAAAATGCAGCCCGTATACTCTTCTAAAAGATAACATATTAAGCTATTATATTGCTACTGAATTTCAAAAATTAATATGTACATCCACATATTTAAAAGGAAGTAAAGGCAATTAGCAAATATACCATACCAGACAGAGAGAAGACAATCGATCCTCTTTCCAATGTATCTGAGTACCGAACCTTGTGGCTTCGATTTTCTAGGGCAGTTGCAATTTCATAACTCTTGAAAGAATTTTCAGAAACACAAACATAAGACATGCCTTAAATGATTTTTATTACAACTAGGACTAAATTAAAAGTGTTCAATGGTTTGTTTTGTCACTGCTCCACTTAAAAAGATTTATCACCAGACACAAAGAGGAGTGAGACCATTCCTGATAGAGATAAAACAGGGAGCAGTGTTACAGAGCTAAAAACTAGAAGAACCACAAAAAACTCTTTTTTTCCTTTTTTTCTTCTGTTTTTCAAGACAGTGTTTCTTTGTGTAGCTGTGGCTGTCCTGGAACTCTCTGTAGACCAAGCTGACCACAGAAAGCTGCCTGCCTCTGCCCCCCACCTCAAGTGCTGGGATTAAAGACCTGTGCCAGCTGGGTGATGGTGCACACCTTTGATCCCAGCACTTGAGAGGCAGAGGCAGGTGGATCTCTTTGAGTTCAAGGCCAGGCTGGTCTACAGAGTGAGTTACAGGACAGCAAGGAGTGTTACACTGAGAAACTCTGTATTAAAAAAACAAAAACCAGGAGCTGGAGAGATGGCTCAGCGGTTAAGAGCACTGGCTGTTCTTCCAGAGGACCCAGGTTCCAAGTCCCAGCACCCACATGGCAGCTCACAACTGTCTGTAACTCCAGTTCCAGGGGATTCAACACCCTTACACAGACATGCATGCAGGCAAAACACCAATATACATAAAATGAAAATAATAAATAACTTAAAAAACCAACCACACAAAAGGCATGTGCCACCACTGCCCAGCAATTCAACTATTTACATCCCAGCCGCAGCCTGACCCCACCCTCCACTCCCATCCATCTTCCCCACCTCCCCCTTCCTCTCAACCCCCTCTTCTGTCTCCATCCAGGAAAGGAGCCAGAGGAGTCAAGGACACCACAAGAAAAGCCACAGAATCAACTAACCTGGGCTCATCAGGGCTCAGAGACTGAACTGACAACCAGGGCGCCTGCATGGGACTGACCTAGGCCTTCTGCATATGTGTTAGTTGTGTAGCTTGGTCCTCTTGTGGGACTCCTAACAGGGGGAACAGGGGCTGTCTCTGACTCTTTTACTGGCTTTGGGGAAACTTCTTTTTAAGAAACGATCTGGTAGTGGGTTCTTATGTGCACTAGTGTGTGGCAGTGGGTTCTTATGTGCACTAGTGTGTGGCAGTGGGTTCTTATGTGCACTAGTGTGTGGCAGTGG